AAGTTAAAAAAAAAAAAAAAAACTAATACAAAGTTATAAAATCATAAATTCAATAATTCAATTTTATTTTCTTGTTGTGGTTTATTGAATAAGTATTCCTAATAGTTGTGGTAAACACCATAAATTAGTTCGCCGTAATCATAACAAACTGTTTCATTTGTTTCTGGAGAAAGTCCTTAAAGAGAAGGTGCATTTCCTTCTGAATTTTTATCACTCCTGGACCTGACTGCATATCAATGATTTCCGTTATTTGTTTAATTACACTTAATCAGATAATCGTTCATAATCCTTACGTATTTATGTTAATTACCTGTTTGAACATGTTATTTCATCAATTGTTTAACCAATTAGCCCCGGTTACGTATCGGAAGGGGTCAATAATTGTATAAAGTTACATAGAGACGCATATGTGTATCTAGTTACATATTATTTATTAATACAACGGCTCAGGCAGCGCAATTAGTGCGAGTAATTAATCATATCGTTCAAAATTAGACAAGTCAGCTACAGGATCGTAATCTGTCACAATTAAAAAGACCTTAACTTGTTGCTATACAGTCGAATTGTGCTTGGAACGTTTCCAAAAACTTCAGTTTATTTCCCTCTCTAACAAAAGAAGGTTTACGACGTAAGTAATTGAAATAGCTGCCGTATGTCGGTCTTAAAAGATGGAATTATAATCCTAACCGGTAACGAAATACAATAATAATAACACAGGTCTGCGAAAAATTTTTTTTGAAAAGTTTTTTCTTAAATTGTTAATATTTGTCGTAATTGTCTCTTAAAAGTAATAGAAAACGATATTCATACGGTTTATACCATGTCACATTAACCCAGAAATACTCAGAGAACACATTTCCATTTGAACCCTTGCCACGTAATGAGTGCGACGAAAAAATATTCGATATCTAGTGTTTCTATGTTTTTAACGATGCTCTTTTCGGTGGTGTTGGTTAAAAATACCTCCGACAATATTAAAGCATGGAAAAATCGAAAATAAACAAAAAAAAAACGTGATTTTTGAATTGACTTCTTTCTTAAAAAGTATTTTTTTGTGTCCTTACGATTTTTTTATATGCTTAAAACCTATATAGATCATCGACCTCGATATCTAAACATGAAATAATCACCGTTGGTCAAGTCGAAATGCCTTTACAAACTGTTTGATCAAACCAAGTTTAATGTACAGTGGTGGAAGCAATACTTTCTTCTTTCAAACTCGTATTGATGACATTTTTCACTCCGACTTCCAATTGCATTCTAATTTGGACAGAAATGCCTAATAACAATTATTTTGAGTTACCGTAAGTCCACTGTGTTAACACTTCAACACATAACCGGCATATTTTATCGTAACCCAATGTTTATCTTGGTGACAACTTCATTCTGAAGTAAGCTTAATATAAGGATTTTTTACAAAGTCTGTTATATTCAGTCTTTACTTAACTATTGTATATTGTCCGCAAATGTAAAAAAATACATTTGAATTGTTTTCACAGAAGCCATAGATAAAGCACAATCTTTTATTACACGTTAATATTATACGAGGGTGGATTGATAAGTTTCCGGCCTAACCAAGAGATGACGCCACTAGGCCTACCTTGAGGTGACATTCTATAGTACCATCCTTGGATAGCTTGTAGCTATAGTTTCAGCCCGATCTCCTTGCTANGCTGCGAGCATCAATCATTGAGCTTGCTTTTCTGGCAAATGCGTGGCAGTAACATCTGTCGACTCTCGAATGCGTACGTGTGTATTTAATGAATATAAACTGTAAATTCGTGAATCGTGTAGTGGCACTTTTACCTTCATATTTAACGTATATAAGTATTTTTCTATTGCTAAATAAATGATGTGTAAATATGGTAACATATATCACATAAAAAGCCGTCAACGCACTCAATAATAAATAGCAAATTGGTGTAACTTTTTACTCAAACATACATACCTGTATGCTATTATATAATATAAAGTATAAACGATGTATGTTCGAGGTGCGATCCCAAAGTTCTAGGACTGACGCCATAAATCTTTCGAAAATTATTCTTGAGCTTCGCCACGCTGTCTCCTTCAAAGTAGTCCCCCTGTGCATATTATACACCGGTCCCAACGCTTTGGAAGATTTTATGGAAGTCCTTTTTTGAGAACGCGTCGAGTACCGCCTTCGAGTCTTTAAATTTCTTCTTCTAAGGTATCGGGAAGAACCCCATCTCACAAGGAGCTAAATCGGATGAGAAGGGGAGGGGGGCGAGCACCATTGAATTTTTCGCCAAAACTCTCGCATCGCAAATGACGTGTGACATGGGGCATTGTCGTGGTGTAGCATCCAACTCTTTTCACGATAAAGTTCGGGTCTTTTGAGCCTAATGCACTCGCGTAACCGCTTCAAAATATCGCAGTAAAAACTTGAATTCACTATCTTACCCTGTGTACAATTCCCCTAACATCGAATAAAATGATAAGCATGCTCTTCACGTTGTTCCTCACCTGCCTGCATTATTTCGGTTTCAGCTAATCAACACTGACTTGATTGCTGGTTTGTTTCTAGAGCATATCCTTAAATCCACGTTTTGTAGCCGGTAATCACTCCAGAAAGGTTTTCGTCGTTGAATCGAGTTCCTTAAATTCTGAGCAGACGTCAATCCTTTGATGCTCCTGATCAACAGTCAGCAGTCTCAGAACAAGCTTTTCCACTATGATATGCATGCCCAATTCTTTAGTCAAAAATCGCCGACAAGTTCCATAACCGATTCCAAATTTATTGGCAACATGTTCAATTGTCTGCCGTCGATCTTCACGGATTTATTTTTGGATTTACTCGATGTTTTCTGACTTAGTGGATGTGGAAAGTTCGTTTCTGCTTTAAATCGGACATATTCAAATACCTGTGTTCGACTCATTGTATTCCATTAAATATTTGCCGACTCATTTCATACGTTTCAGTAGCTTTTTTTCCGAGATTAAAACAAAATTTAACGCAAGCATGTTTCTCTAATTTTTCGTTCATCTTAAAAATTGTAGAAGTGTACATGTAACACGTTACAAAAACACGCGAGGGGTGGCCGCTATTGAGCTGAGCAAGTTCAATCTTGCTTCGTACACTCATAAGTCATAATGCATCTGCCTAACCCCACCCATCGACGGCTTCGGTGTTTTGGTGTTATGGCATCAGTCCGCGAACTTTTGGATCATAACTCGTATCTATATTGTAAAGTGTACCTACATATTTATACACCTCCTATTTTTTGCAAACTAACTAAAGCAGATAATTGTATTTAATTTCATACTTTTTAGTAATATATTAATCAGAATTTGAGTTTGTCGTAATTGTCTTAACAGTAATAGAAACCGATATTCATATGGTGTATACCACGTCACATTAACCCATAAATGCTCAGAGAACACATTTCCATTTGAACCCTTGCCACGTAATAAATGCGACGAAAAAATATTCGATAACCAGTGTTTCTATGTTTTTAACGTTGCTCTTTTCGATGGTGTTAGTTAAAGTTATCTCCGACAATATTAAAGCATGGAAAAATCGAAAATAAACAAAAAAAAAACGTGATTTTTGAATTGACTTTTTTCTTAAAAAGTATTTTTTTGTGTCCTTACGATTTTTTTATATGCTTAAAACCTATGTAGATCATGACCTCGATATCTAAACATGAAATAATCACCGTTGGTCAAGTCGAAATGCCTTTATAAACTGTTTGATCAAACCAAGTTTAATGTAAAGTGGTGGAAGCAATACTTTCTTCTTTCAAACTCGTATTGATGACATTTTTCACTCCGACTTCCAATTGCATTCTAATTTGGACATAAATACCGAATAACAATGATTTTGATTTACCATAAGTCCACTGTCTTAACACTTCAACACATAACCGGCATATTTTATCGTAACCCAGTGTTTATCTTGGTGACACAACTTCATTCTGAAGCAAGCTTAATAAGCATTTTTTACAAAGTCTGTTATATTCAATCTTTGCTTAACTATTGTATATTGTCCGCAAATGTAAAAAAATACATTTGAATTGTTTTTACAACTCCGAGAAGCCATAGTTAAAGATAAATGAAACACAATCTTTTATTACACGTTAATATTATATCTCTCTCAATAATGGCGCGCTATAAACTATTTTTTTTTTAGGCGGTGTAAACGACTATAGTTACTTTCAGACTATCTAAAATAAAGTAAAAGACAATATAATGCTCAGTCAGAGAGTATTAAATAGAAATATAAACTATAAAATGAATTTTGTGAAAAAACAAATAAATTTGCCGATTCAAAGAGCTATATATATATATACATATATTAATCTACATACAAAAAAAATGTGACGTGATACGGTAAAACAAAGTTTATATTTGCAAATTATAGACCAAAATTTACATGCTTAAGATAAATTTATACAAAAAAACTTATTTTTCGCAGACCTGTGTAATAATCGTACACAGATTCGCATTACTTTGTACGAATGTGATGGAGTCACTAGGGTTTACTACTAGACTGCTACCCTTTTCATGTTCTCTCCGTTTTCTGGACGATGCTATTAAAGTCGATTTTAACATCTATTAAACGCCCTTTAGTTGCACTTAAGTTTTGCTTGATTTATGCATTGATTTAATGAATATGAAGTTCAATTTTAATCGGTTTCTTATTAGGCACGAAATAACAAATTAATAAAAGTAGTAAAAGTCAAAAAAAATTATATCACACATTTAAGTGTCTCAATAAATAGTAATCAAATCAATCTGAAATCATCCAAGTTAGGTGAGACAGTTTTTCAATCAAATTATTAATTTAAATTAAAATCACATTCCAATTATGTAAGACTATATAAATGACGTAAGTGTTGTCAATTTCTGAAATTTATTTTGTGATTATATCTAAAGAATCTTTCTTGATCAAAGTCGTTCCTTAAAATCTTGGGTAATTGATCAAACAACATAATAAAAAAAAATTAAGGCTAAATGGATCTTATGTAAAGTACTAATGGAATTAGTAAATTAAACACAAATTTATTGAAGATTCGGTATCTATTTTAAACGGAGAAGCAATAAAAGGTGGAAAATTTTTCGTTCAATTTTCTTTGCTTTCCTAATCTTCTAACAACACAGACGAACGCCTGTGGTTGGTTTAACTAAGCTTAAATTCTTTTAATAAAAAAAGGGCAGGTTCCCGCGTGATTTCGTGTTTAAATTTAATGGTCCATTGCATCGGTACGTGGAAGATAAAAAGAAGGAAAATAAACAAAAGGATAACGGAAGACAAAAAATACATTTTCACGTCGGCGACTTTCGCAAGAAGGACCTTCACCCTTGAAGTAATTGGTGTGCAAAGTGTCCTTTCCTTTAAATTAAGGAATCGACAGTTTTTTTCAATCGATTTTAAACTCGACATTTTTCTTTTTCTTTCTCTTCTAATGACGAACTTTAAAAATTCGACGTTGTAGGTTGTAGGTGCCCGTCGTTTTTGACGTTGGAATTTTCGAACTATAAATTTTGCAAATCATGAAATTACGGCTTCATTGTTAATGATTGACTGATGTTAGTAAGCAATCGACCGCGTATTTCCAATCTTTGGACCACGATTCTCGAAACATGCGTAATGTTTCTTCGACGTGCTGACAAAGTACAAGTTAATTAAGAATATGCAAAACTTTTTCATGACGACAGAATAAAACTATTTATACGCGGAAGAGTGAACAGGAGATTGTAACTAATAAATTCAGATGGGATAGCTGGAGAACTTCAGATATGTACAATTGCTGTAACGTATTAGAACTGATAAATCGGTAGCCATCTTCTAATAGTAGGTACTTTATTTGATTGTAAATTATACATGTTCCGTTATTGTTTTTAACGAAATTCTTCTCCAGGTCAACTGTCCTAACCAATATTATGATTGCGAATGTGAATTTGTTTGCTTGTTACCATTTCACACCTTAAGTACTCAACCAATCATCATAAAATTTTGTATACACATTGCCAAGGGTACAGGAAAGGACATAGGGTACCTTTTGTCCAGAAAAGAAAATTCTATTTTTGAGAGATACAGAAATTAATTGTATGTAGTCGTCGATAATCTTTGACATGTTGAGGAAAAGCTATTTTGTGTGTGAATTGTTTACTTGATTAATTTATTTTTAATTTTTTTAGAGCGATGTTTGCAAAGATCTTTGTCACAGTGGTGGTTCTACTGATGTGCGCGGATACGTCGTCCTGCGCTTCGAAGTCCGAGGACCAGCGGAAGGATCAATACGCGGCACCTAGCAAAGATACAACAAGCACCACCACCACCAGGACGACGAAGACGAGCATGTCGGACGATAAAAGCGAGATCAAGCCTCTGGAGACGATGTACGGTGACCAACCGCCCCGAGTACCATTGCGCCATCACCGCGCCGGAAGTAAGGGTTCGATTAAGAAACTGCGCAGCAGGAATTATGAATCGCTGTGGCAAGATCCTACCGAATCGCTCCCACCGGCCTACTTTTATTCCTCGTGGACTCCGGCTACGTACACCTTAAACAGACCTTACTACATCCCGGCTTGGGGTCCCGTAGGTGGCGTGCCGATATATTTTCCTCCTCAGCCGTTGTTGGTTAATCCCGGCTATCCGCCGATTAATCCTCCTCAACCTAACAGAGAATATCTCCCCCCGTACGAAAATCCTCCCGCTCCAACCACTGCGCCACCATCGGCTCCCGATTTCGAAATTTCTAACAAATTCGGAGACGGCGACGATGCTCCTGTGTGGGATCTTGCTGATACTCCGCCGCAAATAAATAGGAAACCCTCTGGAGGAAGCAGGATACCTACAAGAAGACCGCGACCCCCCAATCCTCCCACGAGTACTTTCCCATCTGTTGTGCACCGACCTACCACCGAAGAAGCCAATGGGATAAACAGTTTATCGGCGTCGAAAGAGAATGAAAAAAACAAGTCGGATGCTGGGTATTCTGTTGCTGGATCGCCTCCGGCTACCAACGCTCCTGGTAGGTGCGTCTGGGCGATTATCTCTTGTTGTTCAGGTGCTTCTCAAGACGTGACGAACGTCTGTTTCGAACAGTTGGGGTGTTCGGGACCGTTCTGGGACAAGAGCCCCTGTGACAGTGAGTTTGCCAAAGCCGCCATCAATGCCGCGCTCGAGTTCTATAAAACGGGTAAATGAAGTGCGTCCTACAGGTACGAATTGATTGGTGAAGTGTTGCTCTTTTTTTTGAACAAATTAAAAATGGACTGCGTGGTGCTCGGACAGGTAAAAATGATAGAAATTGTGGTAGCATTTTGAGAATCAAACTTCCTAAAAAGTTCTTCGTGTGATGATCTAATTTAATTTATTTATGTTCTATATAAGTATAATTATAGGTTACGATAAGTGTGCTAAATTAATTATCCCGGTGATAATAATTATTATTTGTGAAATGTAAACTAGGACTAACTTAAGACTGTATATATATAAATAAATATTTAATTGATTAATTTTTACGAATTGGCCTCCGTGTAAATTTAAGAATGTATGTTCTAAATGTAATTAATTAAAGAAAATGCTAAATTGTGCTATTAATTATTTGATTTTCTGTAAGATCCTGCATTTCATATGATGTCTTTCACAAGAAACGGGTCATTTTTCTTAAAAAAAAAAAAGAAGAAAAGAAATTGTTTTTTTGTAACTTGTGCATTTTTTGATCGAATTAATAATTTTACCATATTTTACATGGAAGTCAATGACAAATAGGCGACATAGGTTGGTAGGACATCTTCTCAGGCATGAAGGTCTAGTCTCTGACATATTAGAGACAGAAACGGGAGTCAAGAGGGGTAGAGGTAGACCTAGATTAGAAATGCGATGTTTAGCTCAGAATAGGAAAGAGTGGAGGTGCGTGTCCAATCAGTCTTAAGACTGACGACCTTATGATGATGATTTTACATGATAATATACGAAGTGTATGCGATAAGTAATTGTACGCTTTGTTTTTGTTTCTTATTTAATAACAATTGAACCAGTTAAATGGCAGTCATCTTGTAGTTTCAGATATAACGTCAACGACAATGAAATTATATGATACGAATTGTGTGCGACGGCATTTTTAATTTGGTAAAAGCGTCGTACAGGAAAGTAGCTACATGCGGCGCGTATTTCTCCATAATTTGAAAAGCCCGAGGGCTAGCAGTTTTCCTAATAGACGCGACTAGCGATTTAAAATCGAATTTGTAGCGGCGGGCTTTTGCTCAACACATACATATATATGTCTATATATATATACAGTAAAGGGTAGGTCTCTAATAAATTTTCTCACTTAAATTGGATTTTGAACGTTCACTTCAAGATTGTGCTACAGTTTCGGTAAAAGCGATTTCTAATAAATTGTTGCGCTCATTGTGGTGTGGTCGTGGCCGAACGATGAGAAACAAAGATTTTAAAATAGGTGGCATAAAATAGAAAAGAAACTACCCCACCCGCCATGGCGAAATCTTTTCCTTTAGTATTATTTCTTGAATCGACGACGATCGGAATAAGTTAACAATAGAGCCCATCCTGTAAGCCAAGTCACGTTTCACTGCTAAACCTTACTTGCCACCTAACTCATCCTCTCCTTGATCTGGTTCAAAAACTTCATCCCAAAACCTTCCGATAAATTTTCTGTATTGGTAACCGATTATAATGATATCGCTGTAGTCTTCAATGGTGTATTTAAAAAGTTATAAAACGCGTAAATTCAAATAGTTTAAATATGAAATTTGAGTTCAATTGTTATTACACATATGGTTCATATTCTAGGCCATTTTGATTCCAGTCTAATCCAAGATGTGTATTTAATAGTTAGTAGATAATTTTATTGTTATTTATTAACGATAACAATTGCTAAATAAAAACTGCTTAAAATTTTGTCGATTCGGCATGGTTGTCTTTTTTTTATTCGTTTGTTTGAACAGAAAGAAAGAAACAAAGTTAAACTATTGTCAATTGTCTTTGTGATGATAAAGTTTCTATCTGACAAAAGTTGAAATTCTTAATTTAATGGACGTGGAATCGAAACTTTGTGCTGATTGATGACCAATCGAACCTTCAGGAGTCCAAAGCTCAATTGATTTTGGCGCAAGCTTAGTGGTAGATGTTTTCGCTTAAAATCAAAGTCAGTTAGTTACCTGTATCTGTACGTTGGAGGCCTCTCTTATCACCTTTACCCATTATTAGAGGTTTCCAATGTTTTCATTGGGTCCTGAAAAAAAAAATATTTAAAAATTATTATATATCTATATCAAATATATAAAGAACAAA